AAAATGAAAATTTGATTCTTATTTTCGGTATTGTGTTTACTGCTTTTCATCTCAGTTTTATCAGATTTAGAGTCACAAAAAGTTTTAAGTGTGTATATTTTTCCATGACTGTAGTTGACATCCTCAAAACAACAATGGTTGACAAACTCCCTAATGATTTGGAAGGAATGGAAGCCTCAATGAAACGGTTACTAGCTTTAATTGATAACGTCTACAATTATGTTGACGAAGTTGTGGTGAGAAACTTGGCCTGATACTCACTAAGTCATTTTCCTTTTGCTTTTACCTTTCTTGTGACTTTATTTCCATCGTCCTCCTAAGGAAGGGCGTGTTGCACCAGATAATAATATTGGGAGATGTATAGCAAATTCTGTAGCCTCCATTCCCAAATTATCACCAGAAGCTTTGATAAGCTCGTGAATGATAGTCAAAAGGTAGGTTAACTTCATTTTACATAGACAAAGGTAGAAATTGCAATCTTTTATAGTGTTATGTTTGGAAAAATGTGTTTAGGGGTTACTTTGATATTCCATAAATGATTTTGGTACTGTAAGCTTGAAGGGATGGGGAACCCTCAATTCCTCACCCTCTTTTTTTTTCTGAGGGTTCACTAAAGATGTTATCTGTCCCAAAAAGCTTTTGGGCCCATAATTTTGACTCTGCTATGCCATTTCACACTTGAGCTTAAGATATTATTGTAAGAATAAAATTAAGTTTTTCAAACTTTTATTGAATTTCATTTTAATTATGTTTAAATTGTAAATTTCAATTGCAAATTTTTGGTCCTAGTTAGTGTATATATTCAAGAATAATAATAATTTTGACCTTAAATTTGGTTTTATGACTGTTCAAGCCAAACAATCAAATCCATTGTAAATATATTATTTGTAAGTTATACAAGTGTAGGCCAACGGTCAAAAGGGAATTGAATAGTCATCCTGTGTCCTTGAGAAGCATGTGCCAAACGGTTAAAGAAAAAAATTGAATAGTCATTGTGTGTACGTTAGACACACAGTGGCTATATAAAGTCTTTAAGAAATTTTTTCAAGTGAATGAAATCAACACCGCAGGCTTTCTTCTTATTTTCTAATCAACACTACAGGCTTTCTTCCTATTGCTCATTTCAGTAGACTATCCAATTGCTCATATCAATTCTTTTACATTTGGCCTACATTTTTTAATTATCATTTATTATTTTATTTTTGGGCAACTCGATTCAAGTCAAGTTCATTCCAACCTTCCATTGGACATGACCATTGAGAAGGTGTTGTTGCGAGTGTCTGGGTTGGATCATGGAGTCGTTGGTGTTTGTCAGTACCCTCATGTGGGGAGGCTCAACTGCTTTAGGACAGTGATCACACGCCTCTCGAGCCCGCAGGTCAGCTCTTTCCAAATAAATTTATTTGATTTATATAGATTGCATGTTTATATATTTAATTGCATGTTATAATTTTTTTTATGATCTAACTACTGTTGGCATGTTTTATACCTAATTTTAGATTACAACACTTATATTTATTTTGCTCACATCATAATTCTAATATTTGTTGTTTTGGTCAAATTCAGTAGCAATTTTTATTAATTCCAATTATAAATCTATACTTAAAATATATAATTAATTCTACAATTACTTCATCCATTTTTTATTCAATGATCAAAATCCTGAGTTTTGTTTTCGCAACTTAGGACTCAGTTATTATGCTTTCCTTTTGGCAGTATATGCAATTATGCTGTTTCTAGTTGGTCAAGAACCTCAGATTTTGTTTTAATGACACCTCTATTTGACCAAAAATTTGCTTTGGTTTTTAACCTTGTAGGACCAACTACTTTTGCTCTATTTGTCAAGCATCACCTGAACACAACTCAGCTCAGCAGAAAAGTTGAACACCGCTGATCAGATTTTGTAGGTGATATCTACCATCTCTTTTCAAGAGGAAAATGTATGGCCAAGGTGGTTTTTCTTTTAAAATGTGGTCAATTTTAGTAAGTTATGCCCTTATATGAGAACTATGCTAATTTTTTTGGTCCTAGAGAAATTGTTGTAGTGTATTCGAGGTTTTTTGCTTTAGTTGGTTGTTGTTCTCCATCCAAATTGTTTTGTGTTGGGTTAAATATTATGAAGAAACCATGTAAAATCTCTCAAAATTTGATGGCTCGGGAGAGCCTTTGTTTAATTTTTCTTTGGAATTATGGGAATGCCAGTTCGTTCAGAGTAAAAAGATTAGGTTTAAGTTCTCTTGTGTAACACACACTGTAAGATTAACAAAGCAAGTTATTGAAAACCAAAAAGAATGGAACGTTGTTTTGCTCTTTTTTGATGTGCTACCCCCCTACGTCTGCTTTGGTTGCCTTGTAATTTTCTAGGGAATAGGGATCAAAATCCAGTAATGCTATAGGCAATATTTGATACATGAGGAGTATGGAATGCATGGTTATCAAAATTTTGATCTGGATTTTAAGATCTTATATGACGGGTTATAAGTAAATCAATTTGGGTCTACTTGAGAATGTAGGATTCCGATCTAAATTGTGATCTTATTGATTTAAGTTGTTAGGTTTGCTTCTTAGGTTCATTTAGTTGTTGAGCAACCTAGTTCATGTTTTTCGTTTACAAAAGATTCTTTTTAATCATTCGTCTCTCTTTGAAAAGTTTAAAACAACGATTAAATTTAATTTTCTCTCTCGGAGAGCGATCATAGTCAAATAGTCTGATATTTTTATTCTATTTTGCTTTTTTTGTTTGGATGTCATATACTCAATATTATTATTCAATAGCGTTTCAACTTTTCAGTCTCTCTCTCTCTCTGAAACTTAAGATCAAAATACTTCAATCCTCATATTTCTCTTTGCAAAATTCTACATGATAAACAACAATTCACCTTTGATTTTAAACCTTCTTTAGTATTCAAGTTGTAGTTTATCAAATTTGAAGCATATTTTAAGTTCTTTGTTTGACCATTCGAAAAAGAAATATATGTTTGTCATAGCATTTCTATTAGGTTTATCTAGTTTTATTTTTGGGAATTTTATATTGCTACATATATTTTTTTATCTCATTTTTTTAATTAATAGGTTTTTATGATTCTTTATTCGATTTTTTAACTTCCTCGATTGGTCCAATATAATATTTCGATTTTAAAAATGTTGATGAAATGTAACCGTGATTAATGGGTGTGATTAGTTATTGGATACACACAGAGAGACAAAGTGAATCCGTTTTAGAATCACAGAATCTATAAACATACTCTTTGTTTGGATGACAACTGATTATGACAATGAATTCATGATATTCAATGTATTGATAGCCCCACTCCCACAGACAAGGATGGTTTGCCTTAGAAAAGACTAGGCAAAGCTCTCTGCATAATCCTTTTTCCCTCCTTTTATAATGGCAACTTGAAATACAAAAGGTAATCCCAGATGCAATGTTCGATTTTGTGCACGTGGGCCCATAGTTTAAGATTTTTTTAAAAAATTATACAAAATAAAAATCAGCAATTGATTCAAGTTATTTGTAAAAAGAAGTAAAAAAAAAGGTTAGATATATGCAATTCAATGCATGAGTATTTATACTTTTGTGAGTTTTGAATTGGATTAGATTTATGCAGTTTTGTATACAAATAGATTGTTTGTATCAGTGTTATCAGAACCCGGACTAGACTGGCCGGTCAGACCGGTTCAACCGTGACCTGAGATCTTAGCTGGTCCGATTTTCTAATTAGACCATATAAGGAATTGAACCGTTGAAACCGGTGAACTGGAATATTTCTAAAATCTCCCGGTTCACATCTTAATACCAGCCACCTCTTTGTCTTCATTTTCTTCGGCACCGTATCTCCATCTCCAGTACTTGAACAGCAGTTGCCACCACAGATCTCCAAGATTCGAACTCCTCCACCAGATCTCTCTTGTCTATGCAAGTTGTCTTCTCCTTTCTCTCTCTCTCTCTATCTTGGCTGGGTTCATCTAAAAGTCATGGGCTGGAAGATGACTAACCTTCTCTCTTGCCTGGGTTCATCTCCTCTTATGTCTCTTGGCTGGGTTCATCTCTTTCTCTCTCTCTTTGTGTATATATATATATATATCTACATGCACACACACAGTACACTATACGTTATACACACACACAATTAGCACACACATCAAATTAAAATCAAGCATGTAAATTATGCTTTAAATAATATGATGTGATTTTTATTTATATTATTATTGTAATTTTTATTTTGATTGTGGACTTTTAGTTAAATTATTATGTTTTATAATTTTTTTATTTTTTTATTATACGACCGGTCCGGCCAGTTAATCCAACTGTTAAACTAGTGAACCATTGACCAACGGTTTGTATGACTCGAACTCTTAAGTTTTAAGTCCAAATGGAATAAAATTATCGTTACGCTAGGAACCTCTCTCAATGAACAATTTTTTTAATGAGTTAGACAAAAATCAATTTTTCTCCATAAATTGTGCAACTTCATAGGTGGACATTTTGGCTTAGGCTTTCTCTGGCTTTTCTACTCGTTTGACATTCTGTTCTCCTTTGTCTTATTTTTTTATTACATCTTTCTTTGTTCTTAATGGCCACCGCAACTCCTTCGGGTTAGATCATGAGAAATTTATTTCTCTTAAATTCTCTAGTTTTGACGTGAATGATCTACCTTTAACTAGATCAGATATGAGATTAGTCGAGGTGCGTGTAAACTAATCTAGACAGCTATTGAACCCCCAAAAAAAATGGTCACCGTAACCTACTATTAGACTGTTAAGTCATGGGTTTGAACCATCCTGCCATCTTTCTCAAAAAGATCAAATTAGCGACAAAAAAAAAAAATTTGGGATGATTATAGTAAGTGATAATAAAACACGAATTAAGCATTTCCTTAACAAATTAAATTCAAAATCTGAAAAACATAACACAGACAAAACATCCCTCCACTTCTCCCAATCACCTACTATAACTGTCACAGGGTCCAAAAATCCGTCACACTCAAATCATGAACAATTCAATAACCCGACACATAATACATGAACTTCGAATCCAACTCCAAGCCCTCCATAGTCTCAGGCTCCAAGACCACCTCCAAATCAACGGTCCCACCACCTTCCCTCCCTGAAAAATGCCAAAATCTTACCGTCAAATTGATTAGCCTGTCCGCTCCGAATGGCTACGGGTCTGCCCCACCCGAAATCATTGTTGTTCATTGGAAATCTGGGCGAACTTCCCATCGTGATCATCGCCCCGTCAAAGTTTCCCAACGGGAAACACTGTGGGTCCCACTCCCAATCCTCTACGCATCACCTCACCGTAGCATTATCGTGGGCCTTCACGTTCTTGTTTAGTTGCTCGATGCACCATCAGAGATCACGTGACAGAACGTTGTCGGCGGAGGCATACGTTGGAATGCTCTGAATTGCGTTTCCAAAATAGTACGAATCAAGCTTTGGTTCAAGCCGATGACGGCAATTCACCGCCATTCTGAACGTTGTCGTTTTGGATGATGGTAGTTTCCGAGCACATGTCACCACTCACCATAGTAGAGCACAAAGTGACTGAAAAGATGAGATCTATACCGTTGGATAGGCATATTTCCTTTCAGTGTTCAAAACGGTGTTTTATAGCCATTTCAACGGCATTATCTTCCCATCGACGACCTTCAAAGGATTGTTGCTTTGCTTCCCCATCAATTTGACTCTATCAATTGCTCCGTTACGACTACAGATCAATATTTGATCGTTTGTTTTTTATTGCAGTTTTAGAATCGATTCTCTGCTGAAACTGAAAATTCTCTCTCTCAACGGAGCATCAACGGAGAAAGTTACCTTGGGTCCATCTTCAGGGACTCTGAGAACAGCCGGCAAGATCAACACCGATTCACGGCGGAAGTCTGGTACCCTCGAAATCTTCCTTGACCAGTTCCACAAACCTCCACAAAAATATTGAAAAAGTTCCAAAACGACATGCCATCAGTAACGGCGTGATTGAGTGCACAACCAATGAAAACGCCGTCAGCGAGCTCAATCACTTGCATAGCCAATATAGGCTTGAAATGGCCGTCGTAACTCGGTGTCCTATCAAAAGCGAAGAACTCTTTGACATAATTAGGGACATCAGTTGGGGACAAAATGTCGCGAACATGAATGTGAATTGCACTAGCGTGAATGAAGTCAACTTCGGCGTCGTTACATGTGATATAAACATAACCGGAAGGGTCAGTTTTGAGACGTCCGACGAGTGGTGGGAAGAGAGAGAGAGTCTGGGAAAGACCACATTGGAGGAGAAAGATGCGAGAGTCAATTGGAACAGGAGGGCGAGTGAAGAGACCACCCTTTTGAATGTAGTGATAGGAGAGCATCGGAAGATCGGAGACTAAGAGTTTGAGGTCAGAGAGTATCGATTTTTGGTCTGGGAGGATGGTGCATTTGGAGATGAGAGTTAGAGATTGTGAAGAAGCCATGGTTGAAGAAGGAATAGGCATGTTTGAGCTTTGAAGTGTCTGAGTCTTTAAGGCTCTCTTGCCTCACTTCGAATGGGTTGGAATTCTTGTGAAGTGAGGAGTGAGAGAGAGTGTAGAGGTGGGAGTGGTTTATATAGGGAGGGGTTGGAGTGGTTTGGAGGGTTGGGTTCATGCACTTGCTGAGGTATTTGTGGTTGTTTGTTGGTTTGGGTGGCAAAAGATTTAACTTTTTAATAAGTTTGAGTAGATAGTGGTAGGCTCAATTTTTTTTGTTTTAAATGGGTTTAATTTTTTAATTCTTTTACATAAATAATGTGGGCCTAATATTTTTATCTTGGGTTTTAGGTGGATACAAATAATATGTTATACAAATATATAATATACATACGTATCTAATAAAATTTTTATTTTGTGAGGGGGGGCACTTCTTCAACCTGGCCCATGCCTCCCTCCGCCCTTAGTTATAGAGACTCGAACTCAAGTATTAAGCGACGAAATTTGAGTTCTTTCTCACTAAACCCAAGACATTTGTTTTTGGAGCAATGCTATTAGGACTTAAATTTACTATAGTCATTGAATTGATCATATTTTCATCAAATATTAGAATTTGGTGTTATTCCAATAGTTACAACGAACTCACATTATTAAGTCAACAAATTAAATTAAAAATTTAAGTTCTAATAACATTATTCTTGTCTTTTAATTATTTTTAGTTGACAATTATTTAAATGAGTTATGGTAGTTAAAAAGTTAAAGTATTAAATCGTAAGATAAACTGTCAGATCTAAATGATTTAGATTATTATTGTATTTTTCTAAGTTAAGAGCTTAAACAACTCAAACAACACGCTCTATTCTATTGGATTATCTATTATTGGGAGGGAAAGACAAGTGAAAAAAAAGAAACTTTTTATACCATGCCATGTTTTGCTGCTAAGGAGGTTTGAAGCGGAGACCTCATTACAGAGTTTTGGGTTGTTTCCCTTCTTTTTCTTGTTTTCTATTTTGGCTTGAAAACTCAGACAAGTTTTTGTTCTCAATTCCCACTTATTTTGAATTTTTTTTGGAAATTGTTGTCCAAACAGCATCTTAAGAGTTTTACTATTTTTGAGAATAGAAAACTGTTTTGGAGAACAAACCACACAAACCAGTATTGTATTGATCATTGTAACTCTAACTCTAGCTTGATAAATTTCATTACATTTGATTATTTTTTCTCCCTGAATCGATTTTCAAGTGCTGAGTTGGGCAAACGAGATATCAAAGTATTCCATGTGGAACATCACGGTGTTTCTATCGGATGTTTGGAAGCTAAATTTCACCCATACCGTGACCATTGTGAGTGTCATGACAGGTTCAATACATGTTATGCTAGTCGCCATGACGTTCTTGTGGAGACTTGTTGGTGACTATTGGATGTTCTCTATTTCAAGCCTTTAATCGAGCATAGTAAGTTTGCTCTCTGTTCCTCTTCTATACCCTTATTAT